ATGCCACATTTCTTAATGAGTATTTAGTTTCTCTGGATAATTTTGGAACAGACTTCTGCTTCCATGGAAGATTAAATTACTCATATATATCAAGCTATAAACTAGCAAAGATTTACTCAGCACTATTACTTACTCTTGGGAAGTGTTTTTAAATGGGAACTGCTCATTTTTCCTTCAGTTTTGAAGTTGCTTTGGGGAATTTAACACTCTTGTGTGTACTTTGAGCTCCAAATTTTATTCGGATCATCTCAGTAGATGAAGTGACTTGTATCACTGTGCAGAAAAGGTCCTTATCTTGGTGGTTAAATGCAGCTATGGTTTTTAGACAGAGCTTGTTTAGAGCCTAGCCTAATTCAGTTTTCCATAGCTATTTTAATGCTACAGAATTTATGTGAAATTACTATAGCAGGAGTCGATTTCTATCCCAGCTTTATTCTCCCTTCCTTACCCTTCTACCTTGACAGTCCCCTTTCTAGTGCAATAAATCATATTAAGGAGCATAATTGCTGATACTTGACAAATTATCTCTTCTCCCTGCTTCATACCTTACACAAATGTATAAAACTCCTTTATTTTTCCTCCCCCCACAGGAGGATATAGTATAGACTTCCTTTGGAACCAGTATATTCCTCATCCAAATTCCTATGGCTTCTTTTCTGTATTACTCTACTGCGTTTACCACAGAGTTCCTTAAATTGTAGTTATTCATAAATGTCTTTTTCTTTTACTCCTCTGTTAGCTTTCTTTGTATATTGCACAGGACAAGTCTGGCACTTTGCATTTAGTAGAAGCTTAGGATACGACTCTGTTGTTCCTTGATAAACATAATTTTATCCTCTGAGAAAACCATCTGTATTCTTTTCCATTTAGAAAATTAAGTCAGAAGTATATGAATTGGAGATTTTATGTTTGCTGTTATTATTACTAAAAATATTATTCTATTAATTTATTTTGGGGTAATTGTAACATGAAGGAGAACTGTATGTTTTAATGTGTAGAATATTTTTAAGAACACACCTCAAGTATTATTCTACTGAAGGATTCCTTACATATAAATAGGGCAATAATTTTCTAAAATGTGCTCTTGTACATTTTTAGATTATCAGTTTTTTAAAATTAAATTAGATAGAAAATGAAAAATAGACTTAAGCATTTATTAGGTTTTAGTGCTAGGTATATACTATAGGAAATCATTTACAGTTGTCCATCCATATGCAAAATGCAAATAAAATTTCATAATTTAAGTTGAACTGTGTGTGTGTGTGTGTGTGTGTGTGTGTGTGTGT